CAGTAGGTAGGAGCTACAGAGACAAGAGAATAAACCTCATCACTCTGAAATCAACTGGGAGTAGATCTAAGCTGATGATAAAGATGCCTTACCTCTCCCATAAGCAGCTTCAGAAGTGTAGATTTCCCAGCTCCATTGGGTCCCACCAGAGCCACTCGCGTGTCCAAGTCAATACCAAACTCCAGGTCTTTATATATGTACGGCTAAAGGAAACAAAAATCACTAAGTGTGCCAAATAAAGCCATATTTTAAAAGGAGGGGAAAATATAAATGCATTATACTCACTGTATTCTCACTGTACTTGAAGCTCACATTCTGAACCATGATAACAGGAGGAGGAATCTTCCCACAGGGAGGAAAATAAAATGACAGAGTCTGTGGGAAACAGGAAGGGTTACTGCTAAGTTGGTAGGTTTCACCACTAACCACAGTCCCTAAAAAACACATACATTACTGATCCAGAAGTTGGAAAAACAACTGCCTGGCTGCAAGCTGAGCAACAGTTTCAAAGGTTGTAGAATAGGAGGCAAAACATTCCCTCTTGTCAAATCAGCTCTCATATTAGATTCAGGAAACCCTCTTCCTGTTAAAGGGAACTTCTTCCTTCCCACTGTCACCAATTGGAGCTCCAAGAATAATCTGATTGACTGGGTTCTCTCCCCGATATTTCAGGCTCTTTACAGTTTAAACTGGCTTGTGACAACCATTGTTGTGAACTGATACTATTAAGTTAAAAAAAGAGAAAAAAAAAAAGAGATGAAATTTAATAGGCCACAGTTACTGTACCTTGTCATTCACGACTCTTTCAGTCAAGCCTGATGCAACCATCTTCTGCAGAGTCTTCTCTTTGCTCTGTGCTTGTCGTGCCAGTTTTGCAGAGCCGTGACCAAACCTGGCTATGTAGTTCTAGAAAATTGGGATACAAAAAAGATAATTGAGTGCAAATGTTACTGTGTGGCTATAGCAACAGTAACTGCTTCATAAAAGGATGCCTAAGTCTCTGTACCAATCAGGCAGTGACACGTGGCCACATGATGTCCCTTTTTTACCTTCATGTGTGCTATCTGGTCCTGTTCCCAGTTAAAGCGCTTCATCTGGTTCTCTTCCAGTTCCTGTCTGGTCTTCACATACTGGTCATAGTTACCCTTATAATGAAAATAGATTTGCACTGTCATCCAACAGGGTGGCACACATATATTTAGTAATAGCCTGCCTCTGGTTTCCTTATTCAGCATTATGTGATTACATGTATAGCAATCTATTCATGATACTTGGAAGCCTACAAAGCATGCTCAGGGTGTTTTCTTTTCTGGCAGTCACTTCAGCTGCATGCCCTTACCGTGTAGTACTTCAGTTTCTTCTGATGCAGGTGGATGATATTGGTACACACACCGTTCAGGAAGTCTTGAGAGTGTGAGATGAGCACGAGGATTCGCTTAAACCTGACAAAAACCATCAAGTTGATCAAAAATGAGTCTTAATCCATATCCGACTTAAATGAAGGAAGCAGAGGGAAAACTTACGACTTAAGCTCCTCCTCCAACCACACGCAAGCATCCAGGTCCAAGTGGTTAGTGGGCTCATCCAGCAGCAGCATGAAGGGCTTGATGAACAAAGCCCTACAAAGATGTCAAACAGCTGAATTTAAAGCAATACTGATAGTTTGTTTAGATTAACTCCTCAAATCTAAAGCTCAGAACTAGTCTTGAATGCTTGTGCTTTCACATTTTAAAATTACAAAAATCCCTGTGCTTTGTGTGCGATGGATGAAGATCTTCAGGATCAAAGATCTTTAATTGGTCTTTCTGTACTTTGAGATTTACACCAGGACATATATCCAACTCCAGCAACTGTGTCTGAGTGCACACACAAGTAATATGAAATGTGTTCTTGAAGCACCTTTATTATGAAATGAGCAAAACAATAGGATTGTTTGTTTTGGTTCAATATTATAGTGAATTTGAATATCAATTTCACACTAGTTTATCTCCTCTCCACATTATAACACAATATTGTATAGGCAGGGCACAATGAAGATCGAGAGACAGGAGAGATATTTTACACAAAACAGACTGAAATGTTAGGACTTAATACCACTCTGGCTATCATGCCAATACCCTATTAGTCATCCAAATGATTCCATTGTCAAACCGGAGATGCTAGAAACATGATAGTCCCCAGTCTGTGTCACTCACACCAGATCTACTGAGACCACTGTTGCGTTTCTTGTATTAGGGCAACACGTTACACATCACAAAGGGTTCATACTGCTACCTTAATGGATACATTATCACCTCATTCCCCTCCCTGTATTGGTTATCGTGACTACACAGAGGAAATTATAACTTATGCCCACTTTAGTTTCCTGTATCTACCATACAGGAAACTAAAGTGGGAAGTCAGGACACAATGCTACAGTTTGCTTTTATCGTGTGCGTTTTTCTGTCATTTGGACAAGGGACACAGGATCAGTCGAAAGCTGGAGAGACGAGGATGACCGTAACTCAGTGGTACAGTACTATACGAGCTGTGTCTACCTGGCCAGAGCAACACGCATCCTCCACCCTCCACTGAAGTCCTTCAGTTTCTTCTGCTGCATCGCAGTGCTGAAACCCAAACCGTGGAGGATCCGAGAGGCTCGCATCTCCGCCTTGTCTGCATCCAGCTCCTCCAGACGCTCATACAGCTCCATCAGCTTCTCACACTCAGCTGTTTACAAAAAAAAAAAAAAAAAAAAAAAGGCATTTATAATATAGCTAAAGCAAAATTAGAGAGATTTTTCAACTTCCTGCAGTTTATTTGAACACTCACAGTCTTCATGGGCAAGTCTTTCTGCCTCCTTCTCCAACATGATCCTCTGTTCATCCACCTCCATGACACACTGCAGAGCAGTCTTTTCGCTCGGGGCCATCTCTCGGGTCAAGTGGTAAATATCTATGTGCTCTGGAATGGGAATCTCACGATGTCCGATGGCTGACAACAGCATGGATTTTCCTGGCAGAAAACGGGAAAATAAATAAATAAATAAATAATAGAGAGAAAAATGTTTTGTGGGATGTGATATAAGAACATTTGACAAATGCAAGCTACACAAGGAAGTGTAGCAGAACCAGTGTTGATAAGAGATTCCCTACTGGCCACTCCCATGGGCCTCAGGTGGGCCATAAAGCTGCCAAGATTTCTGCTTCAACTTTCTAATGCTTTTACACCCTTCCATCTGAGGTGTCAGTCACCAGCATCTTTCTCTCATTGGTACTTGCTTCAAATCCTTAAAACTCAGGAAGGTTTAATTTGGGTTCCAACCATTTCATGTTGTCATTTCCCTGTCATTGGTTGAAGCCTAATGTCAACTTTATATAATTCCTGTAATATGAACCCTTTAATATCATCAGTTATTCAGGTTTTTCCCTTTGGCCTAAAGGGCCAGATGGCCAAATGAAATACTAGGTTTTGAAACAGCTGGGGGGGGGGGGGTTTTCCTTTTGGTTTCTAATGTCTGTGTGTTTAAAGTCTTAATAGAAACATACTGCTCCAGGATAAATTAGTTACCTGTGCCATTAAGACCAATGAGGCCATAGCGTCTGCCTGAGTTCAGCTCCAGGCTGGTGTCTGCAAGCAGCTCTTGACCATGGAAGGTGAGCGACAGGCTGCTTATATGGACATCAGTGCTGTTAGGGTGGGAGGCAAGAACACCCGTCACTGCCCGGGCCTCCGTTTTCCGCAGCTCAAACTCATCCAGCTCCTTTGTCAAATTTTCAACACCTATCAAATATATTTAAAGAAAACAAGAGAGCTTCAGTTAGAAAATTTACCACAGGCTGACAAATCCAGTGAGCAATCAGTGCTTTTCCTCAGTCATCTTCTCACCATTGCTCTCTGCTCCATTAAGCTGGGCCTCTTGTTGTTCACTCTCCCCATTTACTTCTTCAGTTTTCTTGGTGCGCTGGCGAGCTTTGGCAGCCTCCTTCTTCTTTGCTGCTTTCTTCTTAGCCAGGTCAGACGGCATGGTTGTGCAGTGCTACATTATAGGAAAAGAAAAACACAGAAATGATATGGATGAAGAAGAAACTAAGACCAAAATAGAATCGCAGTGTGTCAGGAGAATCGTGATCATAGGTTGTTTAACGGTTTCTCAATTTTCCAATTGGTCTTAGTCTACCAGTTAAATGTCAGAATATAAATAAGGGTAAAAATGACTAATCGCTTACATAATGAGGCGCCAGGACCAACCTCGGTACACTTGCCTGTTTACCATAATGTTAAAAATGTGCCGGTAATTGAACTCACCGTATAACACCATTTTACAGATTACATTAAAAAGTAGGCTAACTTTGAGTATAAAGGCCTAAAATGTCTAAGGACAACTAAATGACAGTAATAGCGGGGATAATGCTCCCTCCCCAAACCCGCATTTTGTTTCCTTTCAGTCCCACCTGCCCGCACGTTGGGCTTTTTGCGGTATAACGCATGATAGCATAGCTGTTAGCAGCCTACACGTCACACTTTGTCATTTCACAGTTAACCAACCATAATAAATATCATGGTCTAAGGAGCCCAGAGTGTCAAACATAAAAAGTAAATCGTAATAGTTTTTATAAGCCGGCTATTTAGCGCGTTAGCCCCTTAGCTAAGCTAACAACGGTAGCCAGGCCTGAGCAGCTAAAGCTAACTTGACGCAGGGCCCCAAGTAGCTTCGAAAAACTCTCAAATCGGCTAACTAGAGCTCACCCCCACATCTGTGTTTATCTTAAAATAAAACAGCTTACATGTCATACAACCGTGGCAGCTCTCATACAGTGTTATTCCCTCTCTTACCTAAATAATGAACCACTGTTCTCCTGAACACACCGACAGTCTCGTGTCCACTTTCGCCGGGTGGATGTAGCCGCTCGCCAAGCCGCCAGACGGACCATATATGGTCAAGGAGGGCGGTGAAGATGTAAGTTCCCTCCTCTTCTCGTGGGACTGCAGTAAAAATGTCCCTTTACCCATCAACTGAACCTTAAATTAACTACTAAATAAGCCAAATTTATATATTTTTTAGGTAGAACTAAAGAGACGGCTTATGAGTTGAAAACTGGCACTGACTAATGGGTAGATATTGTATTTATGAGGTTTTGCCATCCTAGTAAGGCTTCTTTTGCCCTCTTATCACTAAGATGTTGTGTTGATACGTATCTAACACATTCGTGCGTTCAATGTGATTTTCTAGGAGGAATTTATTTTTAAGTACTGCTTTCACTAAGAAGAGATCTGCCGGTAGCTGCTCAGTCGGGGGGTGATGCTGCGGCAGCACTCGGCGGTCGGTGATGAGGTTGAAGAGGGACGCTGTTTCAGCGCTGTCTGTGTGGCACTCGGATTTTTTGAGGAAGTCAGGAAACTGACGGAGATGGGCGACAATGTGCACGGCTGTGCTTCGTAGCTTTCCCCCCCGGTATGAGCTGTGTTACATGGGATCTCCTTCGAGTCAGCATTCGTGGAGATGGATCGTCGTTTGTGTACGGAAACAACGGACTCGACGCTAGCTCGCTAGCTCGGCTCCCTAATGCTTTCCTCTGGTGGAAAACGATACTGTGGAGTTCATACTTCCGAGTATTCTCGCTTCGGGTTGTCTTTTATTACTGGTAACCAGATAAACGGTTAACTTTACTAGTTCATCGTCTAGCTGCATTAGTTAGCTGACTTTGGCTTCTAGCTAACGCCATCCCAAACTAGTTAAGCTAATTAAGGTAACGGTTAAAAAACCACCAGAGTAACGTTACACAATTTTTATGACAACGACATTTCTGAGTTTTTCTTCCCTTTTTGTTATCTTAAAATTTTGACTCGCAATGACTGTTAATCATGCGAAAATATCTGTATGCATTTCATCTTTCAGATGAACAAAGTGCTTCATTCCGGTAGCTTTACAGTTTGGTCATCTTCCGTTGTGACGTTGGATTAAAAACGACATTTCTTGCATTTGTCAAACAAAAAAAACATTTAAAAAGTGCTGTAACATGTAACGTTTAGATTTAATCATTCGTTATAGGCTGAGTAGAAACTTCACTACCTCGCTGAAAGGGACTGGGAACAGACTTTAATTTTAAGCCAGTTTTCTGTCATTTTCTTTACTCATTTCGGTTCAGATTTATCAAAGACGTGTTAACATATGGCAGGAGTGTTGGCACTATCAGTGCTCTAGTTTTTTGTTGTTGGGATTTTTTTTAAAAATTTTTCCCAGCACAGCCACAATAAGTGTAGCTCATAACTGCCAGGGATGCGTCTCTCCTCATTTTTGGCCCTGTTCAGGCCTGCTTTACCCCTTATCCTGGGGCTGTCTCTTGGATGCAGTCTGAGCCTTTTGATGGTGTCCTGGACCCAAGGAGACACGGAGGACTCCTGTGGAGATGAGCTGGGCAATGGCAGGCGGTTTTTGGGTGGGGGAGAGGGCCACAGAGATTCAAGAGATGGAGCTGGAGACGCAGACTTTCAGCCACGCATAGTGCCCTATCACAAGGACCCAAACAAGCCGCACAAGAAGGTCCTCAGGTAAGTGCGGGAGGTATGGTCCCTGTTTCCAGGTGCTTAAAGAAGGATCACAGGAAGCATTGCTCGACTTTTAATTGAAAGAAGCTGGAGACTTTTTCCACACAGTGTGGATTTGCATTTAGTTAATTCCCCATTTTACATTCTTACATTTAATTCCCCCCTGCAATGCTCTCATTGCACTGAGGGGGGTACAGAGAATAAGTGGCCTGTAGATTACAGATTATGCCACAAATTCCTTCAGAAAACTCACTGATGCAAAAGATTGCATCCATTTTCTTTTTTCAATTTTATTTCTTATCTTTTTTATTTATTTCTACTGGCTCTGATAGTCATCCCATAAGGATGATCAGGTTTTCTCTGTCAGTACAACCATTCCTTGGAATAATCTCCCAGATGAGATCTGATTGGCCAGCTCACTGTGGTCTTACAAATGCTTCTTACAGACATATTTTTAAAAGCAGGCCTCTCCTGTGCTTACACTTTTTATTTCTATCAATCCTCTTTAATTATTGATATTTACGTTCAATTTGATGTTTCATTTGCTTTTTTCCTTTTTTCTGTTGTGAAGCACTGTAATTATTATTGTCATTATTTAGCAGGGTTGCCAATTTTGGAGGGGGGAGATATAATAGAACACCTCATCGATGGGATTTTGTGTACAAATTTAATCCTACTATCATTGAATTTGTTCTTTTTACAGAGATGATGAATTTCAAGCAAATTCAAACTTTTAGAATTTTATGTGGAACTTTAGCTACTCTTTTGAAACTCCTTAAAGTAGCAGGACCTCAAAACTTAACTGACATAGCTTAAGTAGTTCTCTAGATATAGTTGTGTGTAAATGCCCCCACAGAAAATACTGCCCACAAAAGGCTTAAAAATACCACTGACATCATTGCAAAAATATATATTTTATATAGTGTTATTTCAGCTCATTTACTGGTTCTTTTGAAAACATCATGCATGCTCATTTTTACTACTTAATAAAATGTATGATTTACCAAGCCATTCCTAGAAGTGAAGGAGTCAAGGATGCTTTCCAGGGATCATCTGCATACATTTGGATATTAACATTTTGGGATACAATAGGTAGATTATTGCTATAAAGTGATAATAAAAGGGGACTTGGTACGGAGAAGTGTGGGACTCCTGTAGAACACGCAAAAAAAAGGAGATTTGATAACATCCATAGCATAGATTAACATTTTCTGCAGAAAAATTATATATATATATATATATATATATATATATATATATATATATATATATATATATATATATAGTGCCAATTCAGATAAAATAACTTGGTATCAAATTCCTTCTTTAAATCCAAAAAGACACCACCTACACAAACATTTCTATCCAATTATCTTTTATTTCACAGCCACTTAGTATCTGCATCACATTAGTATCTTGTGATGGAAACAAGTTCACGCTTATGAGAAGATACTTTTTATGCATCGGTGTTCTTGCTGTTTGCTGTAATTGCTCCCTCTTTGCCCTCTTTCTTCAGAACACGATACATCCACACTGAACTGGGCATCAGAGAGCGACTCCTGGTGGGCGTGCTCACTTCTCGGGCCACCCTCAACACGCTGGCCGTAGCGGTGAACCGCACAGTTGCCCACCACTTCCACCGGACCTTCTTCTTCACAGGCCTGCGCAGCCCCAAGGTGCCTCACGGGATGACTGTGGTTGCCCATGGCGACGATCGCCCGGTGTGGCTGATGTATGAGACGGTACGCCACCTCCACCAGCACTACGGCTCGGAATACGACTGGTTCCTATTAGCCCAGGATGACACGTACATGCAGGCGGATCGGCTGTCGGAGCTGGTGGGCCACCTCAGCGCAGGTCAGGACCTGTATATGGGCAGGGCAGAGGAGTTCATCGGTGGTGAGGAGAAGGCACGTTACTGCCACGGAGGCTATGGCTACCTGCTGTCCCGCAGTCTGCTGGCCCGTCTGCAGCCCCATCTCGACACCTGCCGCAATGACATCCTCAGCGTGAGGCCTGATGAGTGGCTGGGCCGCTGTATTATCGACTACCTGGGTATGAGTTGTGTGGAAGTGCACCAGGTAAAAACACAGACTTTGAAATAAGTAGCTTAATCAGTAGGAGGATTGTCCGCTATATTAATATTTATATGTGCATGTTTTTCGCAGGAGATGACCTACCGTTATTTTGAGCTTGGGAAAAATGCAGACCCAGAGCGTGAAGATAGCCCAGAGTTTAAAAATGCCTTCACAGTGCATCCTGTGTCTGACCCAAATCTCATGTATCGACTGCACAAACGCTTCAGCCACATTGAGCTAGAATGGACTTACCTGCAGATCCAGCAGCTGCAGGTTTGTAATACAGGTTTTGTTTTTCGCTCCTATAAACATTTTTTTCTGCCTGACTCATCACTTCTTAGTCAAAATTTAGTATACAGTTTGTTCTTATTTCACCACACCCTCTTCAGGACCTGAGTCAGTAATTCCTGACTGAAACAATATTTATATGCCAGAAAACCAAGAGAAGGGATGTGGTGTTGTGCCGAGTATGATCTGCCTGAGAAACCTTATGTAACTAAAGTAGCTGCTAATGACAGTTCATTAGAGTTGTTTTGACTTAAGGTTAAATATAGCTTACCGCACCACAGAGCTATAAAATAAGTCATGACTTTATTAGACATAACTTATTGTTATAGCTAATTTTTGTGTATACTGGTTAAAGCGCAAGGAACACTTGATACAGTACAGTACTGTGCAAACGTTTTAAGCCACCATTCATTTACTTACAGTTTACTACAAAAGTGGGAAATACTGCAGCATGCAAACATACATGGAAATATAGTATAAGGCAAAAACAGAGTTTGTACAATTCTAATGGCTTTTAATGCTTTTAATTCAATTACAGTGTGGTTGGAATCATGGTCATGCTGAAAAACACAAACTGCTGCCAATTAGATATTTTCCACATGATACTGTATGGTGGATCAAAACCTGATGGTACTTTTTTGTGTTCATGATTTGACAAGATCTCCAACACCACTGGCTGAAATGCAGTCTGTATATATTGACAATGATTTAAACCAAAAATGTCAAATTTGGATTCATCACTCCATAAACTGTTTTCAGTTCGGTTAATGTGTAATTTGGCATTTCCTCCCTGTTTCTCTTCCTTAATCAGATGGATAATCAAAAAAATGACCTGTGACATCCTTTTCCAAATCAACTTCGCTCGACTGTGATGGAAAAAACTGTGAGGGAAGGGCCGTAAAAAGACTTGGCTTAGACAAGGCTATTTAATAATTTCATGATGGATGTTGATGACAAGTGTCTGCCCATCTTAGATACTTTGCCCAACATGTTCTTACCATCTTCTTTTCTGCAGGTCATATAAAAGAACCACGGGGGAAAGGGGCTGCATTTTCAAAGGACATAAATAGATGTTAGTTGCTCATCTTGTCAACTCGTGTTTTCTCTTTTGCTGGAGAAATGATCCAGTCTAACTCCCTACATTCCTCACGCAAGACAACAACTTTATAGGAAGCAGGTTTTATCACAACAATACAGCGTTCCCCTGTGGGTTTAACAGCCTGTCACTGAGGATGTTAAACATATCAGGTTATGTCATGAAGCACACTTTTAATTAACATTTACATGATCTGTGTCACCTGTCAGTTATGTTGATTATCTTTAGTGATAGTTGGGTTGCTGTGAATTCTTTTCCTGTATGCTCTGCTAATAAAGGAAGAATGTTTCATTTATATTTTGAGAATTTTGAAGCTCTTATCTCCTGCATTTTGGCTGTAGGTGACATATTGCTAGACACCTCTGATGCATTTCAAATTTTTGTGTGCACTCATCAGATGCAGATCAGTAACCTGAGTGACCTGACACCAGAGGGCAAGGCTGGAGTGACGTGGCCGATAGGAATCAACCCTCCCTTCAAACCCAGGACGCGTTTTGAGGTCATAAACTGGGAGTACTTTACGGAAGAGCACATTTACTCCTGCGTCGATGGCTCCCCCAAATGTGAGTTGAGAGGTGTCAACCGCGCAGACGTCAATGCAATTCTAGAGATTGCGGTCGAGCGTCTCAACGAGCGCTACCAGCCACAGCTACGGTTCCGCAAGAGGCGTCTGCTTAATGGGTACCGTCGCTTTGATCCCACACGTGGTATGGAGTATATACTGGACCTCGCGCTGGAGGCCTACACCCAGAAAGGCCACAGCCAGGTCATTGCCAAACGAGTCAACCTGCTGCGACCTCTAAGTTCAGTTGAGATTATTCCCATGCCTTATGTGACAGAAGCGACACGGGTGCAGGTCATCCTGCCTGTCACCGCCCAGGATCAGGACTATGTTGGGAACTTCCTGGACATGTACGTGATGAACACTCTGGACACCCATGACAATGTTTTACTCACGTTCTTGTTCATCTACGATCCTTTCGATGCGCAGAGAGTCAGTCAGACTGACGTGTTTGCTGGCGTCAAGGCTATGATTGGGGAAGTGGAGAAACGCTACGGAGACGTGAAGATCCCCTGGATCAGTGTGAAGACCGAGGTGCCCTCGCAGGTCAAGCTAATGGACATCATCTCCAAGAAGCACCCGGTGGACACACTATTTTTCCTGGCCAGTGTTTGGACAGAGGTCAACGCTGACTTCCTGAACCGCTGCAGAATGAATTCCATCAGCAATTGGCAAGTCTTCTTCCCCATCCACTTCCAGGAGTACAACCCAGCCGTCCTCTACCGTGACCAGCAGCCCTCCGCTGCCTCCTCCTCCGCTGCTTCGGAGTCACTGCGAGACGGCCACTTTGACCGGCACGTCTTCGACGAGGCCTGCTTTTACAACGCCGACTACATGACCGCACGGACGAAGATGGCTGCCGACATCCTGGATAACGAGGAGCTCCTGGAAAGCATGGACGTGTACGACATCTTTGTCCGTTACTCGGGCCTGCATGTGTTCAGAGCAGTAGAGCCGGCGCTGATTCAGAAATACGTGCGGCGGACGTGCAATCCCCGCTTCAGCGAGGACATCTACCACCGCTGTGTTCTCAGCAACCTGGAGGGTCTGGGGTCACGCTCGCATCTAGCCATGGCTCTGTTTGAGCAAGAGCAGGCCAACAGCACATAGAGCACATAGAGCTTGGACTGAAGGACACTGAATGTGATTTTTGTTTCCTTTCTTTCTTTCTTTTTTTAAACGTGGTACTTCTTGCATCCACACACTGAAATTCTCACCCCTGAACAAGGTGGAAAGAAGTCAGGACTGTTTTTGACACTCCAGCAGCTGCAAATAAACCCTCTGACTTATGACTGTGTAACTTTAAACCTGTCTTGTCCAGACCTGTTGAACCATTACTGATGTTAACGTCACTTTGAGAAGCCGTTACTTGTATTCCGGTCGAACAACAATATTTATAGCCCCCCCTTTTTTTTCTTTTGTTTTTTTTAAAGACAATAATAAATTAACACAAGCCTTTATTGTTAGAAATGAATAAGAGGGGGAAAAAACTTGAGCCATAAGTCTTCCTTTTGTGAGGATTTTTTAAGTAATACTGAAACAAGCTGCCTTTTCTTTAAACTTTGTGCTCTTTAAGAGGTATTAAAGAGTGATACTTCTGCTCAGAGTTGTTGCTTCATTCATTCAAGCTCACAGTGTAAAAGGCTCAGTCTCATTAGTCAAAACGCAGCGTGCTTGGACAGTTATTCCTGGAGGTATCTGTTGTCTGCTTGGCAGAGCTGAAGAAAAGCCAGAAAAGATTCTGTGGTCAGTAAAGATGGTGTGTTCACATTCACAATAATGCGTCTTGTAGTGTTCTCAGTTTTCCCAAAAGCTGCGTTACAGAGAGCCCCAGAGGCAGTGAACAGTTTGTTCCAAAGCTGCCTGCTCGTCGCATTAAGTCAGTGAATCTCCACCCCTGCCCGGGCCTCCTTGAGTTTTGGCAAGCGTTCTGCATGCACATCTTTTTTTTTTTGGGGGGGGTGAACTCAGTGCCCGGAGGGAGGGTCGGGGTCTGCAGCGGCTGAGGTGGTTAACCTTGACATGGCGGTGGTTAAACGGTCTGAAAGGCTTACTTCATTCACCTTTCTCCTGTCGGCTCGGGAGAACAGAGAAGCAGCAGAGTTAAAGGAGCTCTTTCTGAGACGGGAGCAAAGCTGCAGTCAGCATTACAGCCACTGCTGCAGCTCCCCGTTGGAAGCGCCTCCACCTGCTTCCTCGTGGTGAGGCCAGTGAACAATAAAAGGCCTGTGTGCCACCTCTGAGGAGCGCCTGGCTCATGGAAGAAACGAAACCCACCAATGAGGCAGGGCACAAAGCCAGAGTGTACGGCAGGGCTGTGCATTCCTCCCCCCCACCCCGCTTTATTCTGCAGCTAATTGAAGAAACTGAAAAATTCAAAAGGCTTTTACAATGACAGAGCTCACGGAGACTGGATTCCCTGTGATCACGTGTGCATTAGCTAGTGTTTGATTGCAGGGGTGAAAAGCAAAGGAGTTCACACAATACAGAATCACTCTGCTGTTCACTAAGCCAGTATTAAAAGGACACTTAACCCTAACATATAATCCATGCCTTTCTCCTCTGCCCTGTAGTTTAGAGTTCTTTCCATTTTGGATGTATCACCTGTAGAGATGTCAGCCTTCTATTGAATATAATAGAACTTAATGGCACTCAGCTTGAGTTGCTCAAAGGGCCAAAAATTACATTTAAATAACTCAGCAGCTAAACCTGATCATTGGAAAAAAAAGTCACAAACCCAGCGGAAGGCACTTTCTTCAACTGCAAGCTGGGAAATTAATAAAATTTTGAATTCAGGTGAAATTTGGTCTTCTACCCATCAACAAAATGACTACAGTGCAATGTTTTGTTTTGCCTCTCAGCCCATCTTTGTCATGTAGTCACATCCCTCCTCACCAGGCTGTGGCAGCTTTGCGTCGCTTCATATTTACCCATTAGCTTTTAAAAATGTTAATAATAATGATTAAAGTTTAAGGAAAGTCCAGATGATTAAAAGGCAAGTTTTGTCTTTTATACAAACTCTTTGCCTAATCATCTTCTTCCTGATGTTTACCTCTGGGAGTCGCCACGGCAGATCTTCTGCCTCCATCTCACTGTAGCCCGCAGCTCTCTCCATGTCCTTTCACTACATCCGTGAACCTTCTCTGTGGTCTTCCTATTTTCTTCCCACTTGGTAGCTCCATATTCAACATCCTTTCTCTGATATATCCACTATCCCTCTCCTCATGCCCAAAACATCTCAGCCTTTGTCTCCAAACCAATGAGTCTGAGTTTCTACGCAGTGTAACCGATACGGTTTCACGTATCTTTGAGCCAAAAAACTGCAGATGGACCACAGAGTTGAAGACTTTTCTTCTAACTCCAAAAAGCTATTTCTATAATTAAACGTTTAAGTAAAACCCTAAAGTCTGAGAGCTTTACAGAGTCACATGCTAAACTCATCTCACTAAGTAACTTTTGTTTCACTGCACTCAAATGAGCTCTAGTCACCAGATCAAGGATGTGGTGGGGTCAGGAGATTCTGATCATGGCCGTGCAGCACCTGTGTGATGCTGTCATGTAACCATGGACCAAACTCTGAGGAAGGTTTCCAGCACCTTTCAGTGTGGAGTTTCCCTGCTCTCCTGGTACTCCGTCTTCCTCCTTCAGTCCAAAGACATCCATGTTAGGTTAAGTGTCAACTGAGTGTGAATGAAGTTGTTAAAAAAAAAGACACATTAGATCTCATGTCATTTACAAACTTTGGCAAGCGCTTCTTTATTTACATCCAGGCTGTCTCGCAGTGTCACAGCTGTTTTCCCTTTTTTTTTCTGTAGTATGTAATCACCAAACAAGATTTGCTCTTTACAGATATACAGCATTATGTATACTATAACCTTCCTGTCGGCGACCCTCTGACAACAGTGTAAACAGAGAAAAAGAGCAGCTCCCGCTCTTCGGGAACACATGCACGGATCGAGACAGACATGTCAACAGCACACCAGGGTTTAGTGACAGAAGACACAGCAGTTTGTTAACACTTTTATCAGACGCCGCTTGAAGCCGAGGAGCTGCAGCTCGTAGATTCCTCCACAAGAGGGTGCTAGTGAACAGCAACGTGAAGGCCTCGGCCATCCATACAAAGAAAAACAAAATCATAATAATAATAAAATAAAATAAAAAAATCACTGGGTCAGACACAGGACCGAGATACTACCTATGACTACTTTTTCTCCTCTAAAGAGTGCAGTTAATATAATTTAGTCCTAGTAACAAAAACACGCTCAGAAAAGTCACACCTACAGTTAGTTGCTGGTAGGGTATGTTGGATTTTTTTGTAGTTTTTTTTTTGGCAAAAAAGGTTTTCAGAAGGCATTTCAACAAATGTGACGGGTCTCGCTCTCGTCACACACACTCTCACACACACACACACTGGTATGCCAGCTTTTCATATTTACACAGACCGTCTCGCAAGGTGTGATAGTGATAGTGAACGTCCATGGAGCATGCATAGGTCATCGTGAAATCGTCCAATTGCCTTTTTGAGTACGCTGGGATGATAAAAGGGGTCTCAACCGTGACGAAGAGAGTCCCGACAAAGAGTTACAGCACAGTGCAAAGAAGTCCCCCCCCCAACCCACCCAATCTAGAAACTGCAGAGAAGAAAATCCTCCATCCTGACATTACAACATATACATACAACTCATGTGTCATTTAAAAAAACAATAACAAAACAAAACAGGTGTAACATGAGAACGGTGCAGATTATATCACGAGTTACAGCTACTGAGACTCAGCGCAAGGGAGGGCTCTCTCTCTGTTGCAGCTTCCAGCTCCCACGATGCACACGGGATAGACCTAAAATAAATCATCCCGAACCCAAGATAGTACACAGAAGAACACTAACATTCCTGCCCTACTAACTCAAAACTCATGGAGCTCCCATACTGCAACACCCCCTCCCGAAATCCTCCAAAACAAACACACACACACGCTCGCACACACACGCGCACACACAGATAGTCTGTCGTATACTGTACAGCTGGCCCTCTTAAGGGGAAGAAAAAAAAAACATATTTACATTCACATCTGTAGAAAAGAAATTCATTTCTCTCTTTTTTTTTTAAATGCGTGTGTTTGTAACATAAAAAAATGCAGAAATAGACAAAAATCCACAGAGCTGAGCTTAAAAGTTCACTGATGCAAGAGTTCAAGAGTTAAGGAAAGCTTTTGGGAGCACTTTTTTTTAAAATACTCTGGCGTGTTTGGATTTATTCAGTCGTTTCTGTTAAACCCAGGTCTGGGATTTTGCCAACGTCTGTTTCAGTGATCGCTCTCTCTTCTCGCTGCAACCTTTGGTAAAACCTTCGGGACGCTAACGGGCAAAAAGTACGACGCGACAAAGAGGCAGTGAGTGACGGAACATTTAGAGGCGTATCTGTTTCTCTATGATTATTATGTTCAGGATCAATACTGTTTGTTTTTTTTCCCTTCATCGAAACACTTATTCTTACTACAGTATAAACAGATGGAGCTGATAATGTCATAATACTTCAGTTTGGTTAATTTACTGTAAAAAGAAGTCTTTTTTTTTTTCTATTCTTTTTTTTCTATCCACACCTCTGGTTTACGTGCAGCATCCTGTGCAACCACCCGGTGCGTCACGCTGCCGTCGCGACTTTGCTGGTGTAATTAATCGACAATTGGAGCACGCTCTCCCCCTAACGAGGACAAAGGAAAAGCACTCTCTCCAAAAAGAATACGAAAACAAAATAAAGACTCATCCAGAGCAGCCGCGGGGCTCTGACTGTGTCAGCGGGTTACGTCATGAGCGTTTGTCACTGCACAGTCTTGAGACGAGAATCCGAAAACACAGTGGCGTGCGAGCAGCTGGTCGAGAAGGAGCTTTTCTAGTGACGTTTATTTACAGAGCGGAAACTGGCGTCGTCCTCCGAGGGGATGAATCCACGCTTTCAACCGCGATGCCTTCGCAGTCCTGCGCTAACACGGGACGTGGAGGAGATGGGGGACCACAGTACGCTGCTGCTGTCTGGTGAACCCCTCCTCTGATTACACTTCAAAACACAGCTATGAAATTGATTAGTCACCTCTGAGATGAAGCCTCCTTTAGACTGTAGAGGTTTAAGGAATCACCAGACATCAGCAATGACCTCACACACACACACACACACACACACACACACACACACACACACACACACACACACACTCACACACACACACACACACACACTCTCTCTGAAATCAGACTCAGGAATCCAGGAGGGCCTCTTTTGTTTAGGTGTTGCGGACCGCTAAGGCCTGTTCCAGCTCCTGTCTCCTCTGCTGGATCTGTCACGGGGAAGAGCAGAAGGAGGTAAATCTGACTGCTGTCATGCGAACATATGGAAGCAGAGCTTGCAGGTAAAGGTGTCCGCAAGTCACCTTGCAGTAGAAATAGCGGCTGACGGCCTCTTGGGACCAGGGTTCGTGGTAGAACGCCGCCCTCCGCTCCTCTTCAGGGTTCCCCACCACGTCTGTCATTAACTGCGGCCGAAGAGACGACGAAGCCGTTACAAGCAGGTCTATTTTTAGCATTAATTAACAAAATAATCTATGAAGTCTGCA